TCGCATAACGAGCAGAGGCGTGAGACGCGGCCGTCTCCCGCTAACTGGAAGATGGTTTTTCGCATGGTCCACGTATAATATGTAAGCCGACCGCTTGTCACGGCGCGCGAAAAAAGGAAGGAAAAGAAAAGAAAAAGGAGGGGGAGGAGAAATCAGGATCGCGGGTTGATTTACGCGGCGTGCGCGCGTCCGGCATAGGCCGCGGGAAAAGCGCTCTCCCGCGGATTATGAATATTTTACGTACGTAGCGCGTCCGTTACGCTATTGCCGCGTGTACAGTTACGTGGGCGCGTATCGTGTAACCGCGCGGCGTTTATTGTCAATGGGAAATCCACCGTGGCCGCGGCCGCCGCCCTGAAATGCACCGTTCGGAGCATCGAGGCGGATACGTGACATTGTAAACTCGAATTGTTTACATGCTCGCGTTGCATACCAGCGCAGGAGCCGCGCCATCTGCTACACGGGCACGTTGCAGAAATAGCGGTGTCGCGCGCGCGCTGCTGCTGCGCTCCTCCTTGGCTCGCCCGCTCGCTTGCGAATAAAAACGAGCGCGTTTTCTCGGGATTTTACGGGGCTCGCCGTGCGCGATCGCCGCGAATAATAAAATACGATTTATATGGAGGGGAATGTACCGGGAAAATGTGGATTTGCGTGGCCGCTTTAACAGGTGGACGGTTTCACGATTATCACGAAATAAGATAATTGAATGATGGAAAACTGCAATTTTTATTTAATTAGCGAAAAAATATTCTGTACCAAATTAATTATTAAATTTACATCATGCAATGATGTATATTTTTTTTTCACGGATACAGCAATAAATTTTCTCAAACTTATATCCAGATTTTCATATTAATACATTTCACATGACATGTTGGTTTGAATAAATTTTGATAATTTTCTTTACTTTAACCTTACTGAGCCTTTCATTAACTTCACGTGATTATTAGCTCACCAAAAAAAATTTCGCAAACTGCTATACATGCTATATATGCAAACAGCTATACATCGCCATTTCATAGCGTATTACGTGCCGTCTTGATTGACGAATCACTGCGAACCCGTATTCGCGATTCTAAATTTCTTTCTCGAAGAAAGCGAGAGAAATGAAAAGGCGGCTCGTTGCGAGAGCATCGAATCGTAACCTTTGGCCCAAAACGCCGCGGTTAACATAAGATTTACGCTTCGATCATCATGTGGGATTCGCTCGTTCGTTTGAGGACGGGTTTGCGTAGTTTCGCAGAGCTAACAAAAAGCCACCGCGGCGAAATGGACTGTATCACAGACCGATAGAGCGATCAACGGCGCCGCTGAGCGGCGGCAGAATACAGGGAGGCGCGAGTGGCACGCGAGGGAAATAAGCGCGGGTCGTGTATGTGCTATTAAATGCTACATTGCCTTCGCGTGTTATAGAGTCATCTGGTACACACGCCACGAGGATAGGTGTAGCGGTCCACTGCGCGCTCGATCTGCCTCTCTCTTTTTGCCGCGCGCGCGGTCTCTCTCTTTCGCGTACGTTCCTCAGTATCCGCGGGCTTTGGTGGACACGCGCTCGCGCGTAGCATCTTTCTTCTTCGACAACGAGACACCGTTCTCCAGAGAGGGAGAGAGAGAGAGACCTACTTTCTTAGCCCGCCGCAGCACCCGGGAGAAAAAGGCCGAATTAACAACAACGTCGACAAAGCGGCCGAGACGTCTAATGCGCTCGCGCGTGATTATGCCGCGGGATATAGTCCCACTGATCCTCACTTAATCCTCGTCTAACGACACCCCACGCGTTCTGTATGGAAAGCCGCTCCAATTTCGAGAGTTACAGTTTCTCGAGATGCGCTCTGGAAAAGCGCCTCGTGCCCGAGTAGAAAATCGACCAGCTCCTAGCCAGTAAGCGGCTACCAATTCCAGCTTTCTACCAATTTTTCTTTTTACAAAAAATTCTTTCAAATTCTTTTCACTCTGTACAATTCTACAATTATGTTTTATTATTCAATACACAATATATAAAAATAACGTGAAACTCATGTTTCAGAAGATGGATTCTTTTCCCGTGGAGCCTCATTCATTATTGATACAGTTTCATTATTGCTATTATTGATATAATTAATTATTGATATTGGCCAATAAATACTGACCAGTATCCCTTGGAAATTTTTCTCGGATGATCGCCGAGCGTTACGCGATGCCCTCCGCGTGCGAGTCTTGCGCGCTTCACGCAAAAATGCACACGTGCCCGCTGGCTGTTTAACCAGCTGCGAATGGTCGGATAAATTCGCATCGTATGACCTTGCCGATGTACCGTTGAGCATGGTCAAGGACCCAGGGAGGCTGAGACTCGATTAAGCCCGATCATGAGAAATTAACGTTAAACGCCGCTCTCGGCCGGTTAAGCGTGCTCGTTGCTTTCGGGTACGAAGCAACGTACATACAAACGATCATCACGACGCCGTGGCTTTTTACGCAAGCGTTACCGTTGTAACGATTTGTACGATTTATCGCGGCGCACCGTCGAATTAACTGTCGGCGGGACGGACGCGCGTGATCGGAGCTCTAATGATTTCAATGATTACAAGCGATCCCTAAGCGCTAAGCTGTGTACTGTAATCTTTCCGACTGGGAAGCGTGAACGTTTACGAAGTGAGAAGCGCAGATGTTAGCGCGGATATCATGATTAATAACCCATTAATTAACTCATCCGAACTTAACACCATTGTAAGCATATAAGGAAGGGTAAATTATGACAGCGCGGAACGTACGCCCTTCTCTTTCTCTCTCCTTCTCTCTTAATACGAAAGTAATTCTACCAAGTTCACGCGAGGAAGTTTGCGCGTGGGACGCCGGTGGCGTGTGGATTTATGCGAAGCCGCCGACGATGGGGTTTCCCGCGGTCGTTCTTATTTCGACGTCGACGGCGTGAGCTCACCTGGAGAGTTCGGCTCGCGAAAATCGTATTACCCGCGGCGCGCCGTGCACCGGTAAATTTATTTTATTCACCCCCGCGATACATCATAACGCCCACAATTCCCTCGCGGCGACCCCAGGCGATTCGCTGAAAGGTAATCCCGCCGCTTGGAAACGTGCTGGAATCTTGATAAAGCGTATGGCACCGGGAAGAATCTCAGTCGCGGCAACGTGCGTTCTCGCGAGTGATTGTTCCGCGGGCTCTTTTTCGAGATGACGCGCGATAGTGGTACAACGGCCGCGGCTCGGGGCTTTCGCGGACGATAAAGTAACCGTAGATTTGTCACTGACACTGTGCGTAACACGCCGAATAATTCGCCAAGCCGAGATTTCTAGCTTCCGCTGAGATAGGTAGATAACGATGAGATTCGACGCGATGAATTTTTTTCACACCCGTATAGTCTTGTTTGAGTAGTTAGAGGTTGCTAAATGTGCGCGTGTTATTAATTTCTAATTGTTTTTCAAGTTGGCTCGTAGACCATCTAGATACGCAATATTTTGCGCGGTGACTTTCCAAATAGATTTGCGTCCTGAAACATCACGAACAGCACAATCTACTAAAAGATTATCTTAAAGATATCCAAAAAATGTCTTATTTATTTTAGACTTCTTTTGGACATTTTTAAAATATCTTTAAGTAATTTGTGCTGTTTGGGATGTTTTGTACGGTTTATCAATAAAACAAAGCAATTGATTCAGAGAAGAACACACTTTAATCTATGGTCAAAATTCTTTGATGAATTTTCAGAGCACGACTCATAAAAAAAAAAATAATAAAATGTTGTGGTCATAATGTGTTAGACTTCTTTTCCTACTACTTTATCATGAGATCATTTTCTTTAAAATCTCGACTGTCTTTAAACTTATGTCTTACGAGAGATTCATAATTTCCTAAACTTATGTAACGTTCTCCATTCCGCAATTTTTTTAACTCGCGATGATCAAATTTGCAATTTGTAGTATGGCAATTTGAGAATGTTTATAATATGACAATCTTCAATATATGTACTAAGAAAAAAATACTTATAAATTTACTTGTGGGATATAAGATTTATTTCCATAAAATAAAATTTATATCTGTGAATAAAGTTTATATCCCAAGTAAATTCTCCAATATTTTTTCCCAGTGTGGTAATGTTCAATATTCAATATAGTAATGTTCAATATGACAATATTCAATATGACAATATTCAATATGGCAATATTCAATATGGCAATATTCAATATAGCACGCATCTGATGCTGTGCAAATAACATCTGGTATTCATCTTTATGAATACTTCAATAACATTTTGTATCCTAAGAGACGATAAGAAGTCACCGTGATAGATTTACATCATTACAACACAAATTCTCTTGATATAAAATTTGCAATTATAAACTGTATAATGTGTTGAGCAATGTCATACACCATAACGTGACTACATGAGTAATTTATTTTTAATTTCATCAACGACTGAGAACAATGACGTGAGAATCGTAATAAAATCACGAACAGTAGTTGTTCTTTTTCATATACTGTCAGACGCTATTATTAATTTAATATTTTTTTAATCAATCTCAAACTGATATACTGTCTATAAGGGCCGTTATTCAAATTGCATTTATCGAATTGTCGAAACAAGCAACCTTCGCTCAGTGACTTCTTTTCATCGTTAATGCGATTTACGTCTACATGCGTGCACTACGGAAAATGACGCTATGTAAGCGTTCGTAAAGTACACTCACCATTGCAGATAGTTATTCAGCGACGTTCAGTGATGTAAGGGAGTCCACCACCACATCTCTCTGCATCCGTCCAGCCTCTTTAGCATCCAGTCGTCGTCCACGTCGATCACTGCTCGAAGGCACTTGACTGCACTCGTGACCGCGTGTGATGAACCGGAATGTCTCATTGCGATCGCGTTTGACGGAACGAAACGTCTCATTGCACTCGCGACCACATTTGGCGAAATAAAATGTCTCATTGCACTCGTGACCGCGTTTGACGAGACGAGATGTCTCATTGAATTCGCGATCGTGTTTGCCGAAACAAAGTATCTCACTGCGCTCGCGACCGCGCTAATTTTCATCGAGTCTGACGAAACAAGATATCTCATTGAATTTGCAACCGTATTTGACGAAATGAGATGTCTCATTGAATTCACAATCGCATTTGACGAAATGTAATATGTTATTACGCTCGCAAACGCGATAATTTTTATGGAGTTTCACGAAACGAAATATCTCATTGCACTCGCGGTCGCGATAATTTTAACGGCGATTAACGGATATTTCGCTGCACTTGCAGCAGCGATGATCATAACAGTAATTAGCTGAAAAAAATATTTCGCTGCACTTGCAACAGCGATAATCTTATTGGCGCTTAACGAACGAAATTTAACGAGAAACTTACGACAATTTTCTAAAGCGCCTTGAAAATATATTACTGAGTCGTGTATCGCATATAAAAAATCGTGATGCACTCGATAAGCTAAAGAAAGCAAAAGGAAATATCCCGTTTTCATGAACGATTGTATTCTGCCAAAAAGTGAGATTTATATTTCGCGAAAATTCTACTTTCTAAAGAAAACAGTGAATATATATATATATATATATATATATATATATATATATATATATATATATATATATATTTATCGAATGATAATTCCGACTGAAACTGTATTATAATTTGTTACAAACTCGTGAAAAATTTGTGACATTATTAAATGTCAATACTTCATTCTGTACTTTTGGTTAACTTTGCTATTATTCGGCAATAAAGCAAGAAACTTTTTTTCCCATAATCTTTCTTATTTCTTCTTTCAAAAGAAAAAGAAGACGTTAAAATTCAGTAAATAGAACTTGAAATCCCGAAAAAAGAATATTATTGAAAACAAATAATCCTTGAAAATAAATAATCATTCATGAGATTTACAATTCTAATTTTCGCAATTCAAATGATAATTGAACAACGCGATTGTAAAATAGTATCACGACCGAAGTAAGCAAACGCGAATTCCGCGAATTAGTGGCGCAATTTAGATGTACAATTTTTGGCACAATCTTTTATGCAATCTGAATGCGCAATTTGTGGCACAATCTTTTGTGCCATTCGGATGCGCAATTTTTGGCACAATCTTTTGTGCGATCTGAGTGCGCCATTTTGCTGCGCACTTTTGTTGCGCCAATTTGAGGCGCATGTTATATCGTTTACGTTCAAATAATATCGTCGTTACAATCAGTGGATCATATTGCATAAACATGAGTTTCGTCGAATAATTCAACATTTTAGTGATGGAATGACTAGTAAACAAAATCTAACGATTCACAAAAATTTAATATAAATATTGATGCTCGTATCATAAACACTACACTGATTAAACATTGTTGTTATTCTGTTAATTTCAAAAATGTATGTTGACAATTGTATACGCGGTTGTAATTTTACACGATCTTTCTAATATTCTAACTGTCTATCAAATATAGACAGATATATAATATTATACAGACATTTAAATGTATGATCCTCTAATTGTTTCAAGCAGTGAATATTGATGGACAATACAAACATATACATGCCAAAGTCTACAAACTATGTAAATCTCATTGTTGAAATTCTACAAACATCCTCACCACTTTTAATTATTGATACAACTTTCATTTGTTTGACTTACTACTTCACAGAAGCTCAAGGTCGGCCACATTCTGCAACGATTCTGAAACAAAAATATAATTCCATCGATTAGAGTTAATAACGTAACCAAAAAAATATTTATAAATGCAAGTACGTTAGCTTTTTGCAATCATTCAATTGATTTTTAAATATATAATTCAATCGATAACACAAACTCAGAAATATAGAAAATGTATGAATATATATATACCTTCGAGCCGACCTTGTTATGCCCGAACCGGATCCTCCGGTGCAGCATTCACGGAAACTACATCCTCGGGCAATGCCACAGTCGTTATGTGGCCCCAGGCTCTGATAGGTCTGAAAAGTAAATTTTTCCTGATTAATTTATTCAAAGTAATTTTGTTTTGAACGATAACGTCCCACATAGCAGAAGTATCCAAAATATATCAAAAGGATATCTTCAAGATATATTTGGGATATGCAATATCTTCAAGATATCCCTATGATGTATTTGGGACATTCATGCTGTGTAGGATGTAATCTATAACTTTAATATTTAGTTGTTTCATTGAGAGAAAACATATTTAAGAAAAACAAGAAATATTTATTCAATGGATACTAATAACTTATTTATTTTTATATTAAGACATTTTTCAAATAAGAAAATATATCATTTTTTAAAACTAGCTTTTCATATATAAAACTATTTTTTATTCTATTTAAATAAAAGGATTTAAATTTAAGTAAATATGTTATCAGTACCCATAGAAATATTTTTTTATTTTTTAGATATTTCGTTTTTCAATGCATTAATTACCATGAGTATTAGGTAGTTAATATCATGCAGATAAGAATGGCTTTACATTCAGAAAGTTAAACTTATAAATATATAGGAAAGTGATAGGTACCATAATATTCCAATGTATTGCCAATAATCCATCTTCGTTGATTCTCAGTTGTAAAGAGAAGATCTGGAACGAAAAAGTAAATTTCTTGATTAGTTACACTAATAAATCAAATAGTCAAAACTACCGATTATATATATTTCTCTTTTAACGTTTTGATTAACTCTAGATCATAACTAGTAATTAAGTAACGAGTTACACGCAGCAATACTTTAAACATCATATTTAAAACAATTCACAGAATACCGCATGAAATAAATTCCGTCTTAAATAATACTGTTCTTAAAGATTATATAGTCTAACATTTTTATATATGATTATTTCTATTAAACACTTTTACAAGAGTGCTTAGTAAAATTCCTAAAACGACATCATCACTTGAATATGAATGACACGACAATCAGAGTGTTAAACTAATAGAAGTGAAGATTAACAGTTACCTCTAATATTACAACATGCTACCGCTGTCGAAAATGGTCCGTATGCGATGATCACTGAACGTGAAGTGAGAGAGAGAGACAAAGCGTGCCTCACTCGCGTTCCGTTGATCAGATAAACAAAGGGATTACGCCGCGACGCTCCCCGGCCCGCTACACTTGAGTCAATGTTTTGATCGCGCTCGTCGCGTGCCTGCGACCGTTATCGCTTCCGCGATCATTGCCGGCGTATTGTGCCTACGCGTGAGTTTTTATTTCACGTTGAGATTTTTCAACAAGATTTTAATTCACTGATACGTTATGCCGTCCAACTCGACTCGTCGTGACTCGGCATATGTATATCTGCTTTACTCATATCTAAAGATCTGTTCTCTTCGAAGACGTATTTTCTTGCGATCTACCTCCTCCCGGCTGCTCTCCGCCGAGTGTGCAGTTACGTTATGAATTTCGAAACAAATATTTTCGATAATATTGTTTTCGCTCGTCACAAACTACGCACTTTCTCAGGTCGCGGCTGATGTCTCCGAATACGCACAAGTCGCTACGGAACTACCCGAACACGTCGAAAAAGTAATCGAAATACGCGCGCTCTTTCTTTGTCGTTTACTAAGGTGATCAGACGTCCCGATTTTTCACCCTTTGTTCCGAATTTTTTCGAGTGCTATTCGGGACACCGATTTGTCATCATTTTCAATGATTGTCAAATTATTTTCAGATTTTTACCCCTCTCCCCCCGCTTCGTTTCATTTATGAAGTGTCCCGAATTCAGGGCTAGGAAATCTGATCACTTTATATATATCGCGAAGAGAAACAAAAAGATTACTTACAAATGACGTCTTCACGATACGCCCCGGCGATCGCACATCGCTATTCTCGACACTCTCGAGACTTATTAACGCGCGAGACTCATTTTCGACGGGTTAAAGACGTGTAAAATGCGGAGCAATGTCGATCGATGTGTCCACGGCCGTTACTTGATGCAGAAAGATCGAGAATCAAGATGGCCGCGCGATTATTGAATCACGTTGAAAATATACGCCAATATGTGAACGGCAGCGCGGCCGAAAAGAACGCGCTCTATGAGATACTTCTCTCTCCGTATCTCTTTTCCTAACAAGCTGACGCAACCGCTCGAATATTCCGCATCTCTCTCTCTTTCTCCCTGATTGTCATCGCATTTCTAATTCCTGTTCAATAAATCCAACGATCGTCCGATTCTATTGCTACTTGAGCGAGTCGATGTTTTTAGCAATTGTAAGGGACGTCGGCGCGACACGTCGCGACAAGCAGCGGCCGCATATACTGCGAGGAAAAACGAGAAGATTACTTACAAATGACTTCTTCACGATACGCCGCGGCGATCGCACATCGCTATTTTCGACATTCCCGAGACTTATTAACGCGCGAGACGTACTTTCGACGGATGAAAGACGCGAGAAACGCGGAGCGATGTGGATCGATGTGTGCCCATGACTGCTGCTTGGCGCGAAAAGATCGAGCATTTCGCGCGATTCATTACCAACGCCTAGATTGAATAACCACGATGACAACCTCGTAGTGTGAAACGAACGCGATTGGTCTAGAGTGGTTAGTAAGGAGCTGAGCACAATAAAAGGAATAAAAAATAAGGAATAAGGAATCGAGAATAAAGAACAGGAAACAGAGAACAGGGAATAGTTCAATATTAAAACATAAAACCTAATTTATCAACGTAGAATAGAGGAACAGAAGAATAGCGTTATTTCTTGTTTTCAGTATTCCTTATTCCTTATTCTCTATTCCCTGTTCTTTATTCCTTTTATTGTGCCCTTACTCGAGCAAGTGGTTAAGGCGTCTGCCGCGGCGTGCCGTACAGATCGCGTCGTTGTAGACGCGCAACCTCGTTTGCAACACTAGCGCGTTTACATTCATGCACTTTTGGCACTTTCGCCGCGCTAATGAACTTTTGGTGTACGTGATTGGCAGCGCGCGCGTCTACGATCTTTTCATAGCGAGCAACCGCCACGTTCCGTATTCCATACGTCTTTCGCTTGTCTCCTGTGTGAGTCTCCTGTAGAAATAAGTATTAGAGTGCCGAAAATAACGACGTACGGTTACTCTCTGCGATACTTTTGGGGATATTCTTTGCAATACTTTTGAGGACACTTTTGGGGACACTTTTGGCAACACTTTTGACGACACTTTTGACGACACTTTTGGGGACACTTTTCGAGTGCTATTCGGGACATCGATTTATCATTTTCAATGATTGCTAAATAATTTTCGGGTCTTTTTATGCCCCTCTCCCCGCTTCACACATTTATGAAGTGTCCCGAATTAAGGACTGGGAAATCTGGGCACTTTACGTTTACTTAACTTTTCACATAAAAATTTCGGCTTATACAAAGCCGACTGCGTTCAATAATAATATAATATCGTTGTTATAAATATGAGAGTTAACACTGTGCACATAGTAAATATAAATGTGATAACTCTTTGCGATTGTCGTAAGTCAACGACTTTTATTGCAACAGCCACGTCTCAATTTTTGATCGCGGAGAGTTGGACATAAAAGTTTAATTTTCGATCGCGAGAAACTGAATAAACAAAATCTAAGAAAGAAAATCTGTAACTGTACCTTCGAGTCGGCTTTCTTCGGTCCAAACCGGATTCTCTGGTGTGGCATTCGCGTCCATGGAAAACTATATTCCTGGAAACAACATCCGCTGCAAGCTCTGCTTGATCTGAAACATACCGTAAGTTTCCTGGTTAGTTACATTGATAGATGTTAAAAATACGGAAACTGTAACGGAAGAATATTGTCTCTCCTTGAAACTACTATAACTTGAAACTACATCCAAAAAGAAATAATCTTATTCTTATATATGTGTGGGTTCTCTCTCTATGTATTAGATATGTATTATATCTTATATATGTGTGGATTCTCTCTCTCAAGAGGATTTTTCTAAAAGAAAAATATTCTAAGCGCAATATTCTTAAAGTTAGAAGAACATCTTTTATCCACAGTATAAATCTTCTTAACAAAAATTTTTAATAGAAATTTCTTTTAGTAAAAAAATATTCTGCTTCAAGTAAACATATTCTTCTTGATTCAAAATGGAAAAGATTAAAATAATATCTAATAAATTTCCGATTAATAATTCACTTTATTATAAGAGGAATGTTCTTTCACTTAAAGAATTCTCACTTAAAATATAAGATTGCAAGAAATAGTAGCTTGCAACTAGACTTCTTTTTTTAGTATTAGAATATTTTTATTTTTATTTTAGAAGAATCCTCTTAAGGCCATCCATATAAAAGACCGTCTACAATGGAAACAGAGTATGACTGTAAGAAGTAAAAGTTAGAAATTGACCAATCACAATCAAATATCAAGAGAAAAATAATCGAGTGTGATTGGTCAACTTTTTACTCTTCTTACTTCTTACAGCCACATCTTACTTTCATTGTAGACGGTCTTTAAAAAGTTCCACTAAGAATATAAGGTTCCACTAAGAATGAGATAATATTTTTTCTTAGTATACCTTTTTATCAAGTATTATTTTAATCGTGCATGCAACACGTATTGATATTATTATTCCGGAAGTCATATTGATCATCAATCAACAAATCACGCTTGAAAGCACCGTTATGTCGTTTATTCTTATCTTGAACGTGTTATGTGTCGTATTATTAATATTGTACATGATTTTATAATATTTTACTCTTCTTCTTGATGTTTGATCTGTCAGAAAACATAATCTCTACGATGACAGCTCGCGATATCGAGGAGTAAATGACAATCCACGTCGAAATAATTCATCGACAACGTGGAGAAAATGCAACACTAGTCTAGACCGTCGTAGTAGGTGCTCGCAAATGTTCTCTATGTTTTACTATTCATGTTATACATTATTTTATAGTGTTCCATTCCTCCTTGAGACGTGTTTGAACTGTCAAAATGCATAATCTCCGCGATGACAGCGCGCGATACCGAGAAGCGAGCAACAGCTCCCGTCGCAATAATTAATCAGCAATGCGGAAAAGACGCAACAATGAGTTTACACTTTTTTTTTAACGTACATGAGGAATGAACCTTGCTTTTGCGAAAGGCGTGGAAAGGCGGATTAGGATATACGCTGCTGATTGTATACAGGAAGAAATTAAATGTAGATGTGTGCAGGTCAAGTACGCCGCAACCATATCGTACCCGAGTATCGCTTTTAATCGTTCCGCTATACAAAAGGCGATGATAGTCAACCGTAAAATTACATCCTTAGTGAGCTGAGGGATCGCTTTAGAAGGGGCCACGCTACATTACATACATAATACATCGCGAGTTTATTCCAAGTAAACTGGAATATCGCTTTTATTAATCCTTCCGCTATTAATAACGACGATGGTTGCCGGCGTATTGCCGCGGTAATTTCACAAATATTCCCGTGCTTGGAAACGTTTCTCACATTGTCGACGCGGCACGATACGCTTTAGCCGACCGATATTTGAACATCTCGCGATACGGGCGGCGATTTATCAATGATAAATAAATCATGTTCGAATCGACAAAGAGTAGAGGAAGGAATCCGCGCTCGCGATGTTCCGCCCGAGAGAGCGCGTCGTATGTAACGAAGAAAGTTCGATCGAACGAACGAACCGTTTAGTTGTGCCATAGTGGAAAATACGGAGAGAATTACACGGAGAGAATTTTACAGTAAAAATTACTATAGAATTTTATAACCGAGATATAGTTTGATATTCTGCAGCAATTTATTACTTTTCCATTTCACATATGTGCTATTTATTTATATTTCAGGAGAGCTATATATATGTATATTATATGTTTATATTTATAATATTATATATATAATGTTATAAATATAAATATATATAATATAATATACTTTATTTTTATAATAATAATATGATAATTCATATTTTTACTTAATATAATATATAAATATAAAATAATAAAAATAATATAATATAAATAAAATAATAAATAATAAATAATAATATAATATAAAATAATAAAAATAATAATAATATAAATAAATATATAAATATAAATTATGTCACACAATAAAAATGTGCTATTAAAAAATTTATTATGTTTCTAGCGTAATTTACTATGTTTCTTACAAGTAAATCTACCCAAAAGTTACACTCCAATTTCTTTCTAATTTGGCACAAATGTAGAGATACAAAAAATATTTAGGTCATATTTTTTCATTTTGGCCCACTTTGAGTTTCACGGGCAATTTATAGCTTTTTAATTTTCTCACTTCTATCATCAACAAGTGCAACAAAAATGCATAAGAAATAAAATTGATTACAATATATAATTAAATAATTTTAACAAAATCGGCGTAGTTGAGACACGAACCATTCTAAATTTCTTTAGCCAAGATTTCAACCAAAATATTTTAAATCTGTGCTAAATTAGTCAAAAATGGTTCGAATCTCGGCCAAACCGAGAAATCCGGCAATTTTAATTCAAATTTTAATATTTTTTGTATTTCTACATTTGTGTCAAATGAGAAAGAAATCGGAGTGTACCTTTTGGGTAAGTTTACTTGTTAGCGAAGCAGATTTAACAATCTATTCAGGCAATCTACTTAGCATATTCTGCATTACTAGAAATATAGTAAAATTGAAGAAAATTGATATGAAAGAAAAAAAACTATAATATTCTCTCCGTGTGTATATCCACCAATCTTTTAATTTATTCAAAAATATATAAAAGTTCGACTCCTGACTGAGGCAGTATTTTTCGCTACGCTATATATATGTGGAGAAAATGTGTTGTAATAAAAATTATAATTTAATAATTTTATAATTCTGAAAATTTTATAATTCTGAACTGCACAGAAATGACAAATTATTATTCTTTCTTTTATTGGCAAAAATTGATTCTTAATGACTGAATATCTGAAAGACTTAATACTAGATTCGAAGAATTCTCCGCAAAACGAGTGTTTGAAACACCTGTCGATCGAGTCGCGAAAGGACGAAGAACGAGCCGATGTAGCCACCTTCCGAAAAGCAATCGCCGTCCTCGCCGACGGATTTCGCCTTCTCGACAGCAAATACGCGCGAATAAGCGAAAATCACGAAGTTTCCCAGGAAGGAGCGTAGTGACGACGTTAAAGTGCAGCTTTGGCTCTATGGCTTATATTTACGAGTTGCCCATAGCCTATAATTCCTTCCTTCTTCCAGTTATCGTCCGGGTAAGTTCTGTCATTATCCGGCATGCACCTCAAACACCATAGTTAGCTAGGCCGTTGCGCCAGCGGCTGCCCGCGTCGCCTTTTCTCCCGATACCTCGAAACCGATACTGCGCGACTTTTTACTTCGATCCCTGGCTACCATCTTTTCACGCAAACGAGAAAGAAGACCCCGCACAGCGTCCCGCGGGCCCTCTCTGTGATTTACTTAGATTATTACACCGTCTCGAAAATAGCCGATAATCAGCCCGACGTTATTGCCGTATTATGTCAAGTTGCGCGGACAACGAAAGTCACTTAGTCGAATATGGAATTTCGCGTTGAATTTTACCGCTTATGAATATACGGAGACGATTTCGCCCTCCGCCCTTTTTCCTCTCTCTTTGTTGAGCATTGCGGAAATCCGTCGACTTTGACGCGACTGAGAAGCGATTTTTTCGTGAGCCATCCTGTAACGCGTGCAAATGGCGCCAAGCAGATGTTTTCTAAACTGAAACGGTGATATAAACACGTAAAAAAAGAAAAAAAATAGAGAAAGAAGTCACAGATGGGCAGTTAACGGCGTATCTTAAAATATATGGTTGACCTGGATATGCGAATATCTGAACATCGGCAGCGCGTGTACACACGTATAAGGCAGTCCGCGTGATTCACAGTGTCCCGTAACAGTGTTTAATGACATCCACAGCATGAACCTGCCACGGCTCGCATGCAAATGCGCTTATGTCACCGTTGCGTGTGCCCGAAAGTATGAAATACTTCCACACTGTGTAAACACGCGACTAGCCGCCCGCACGGTCATTGATTTCTCAAAAATAGCGCAAGCGCGCGCATACATTATTTCGCTTGAAAATTATGCTTCGAGTAGAACGCGACTATCGGTGGCAGTATGAATATGTACACGTGTTAAGACACTGTAAACCGAGGATGTGATACGACGTCTTTGGTTTCGAGGGCCGAATACATCTACTCAAATCTTTATGGGGATGAAACGGGGTGCGTTTGTAAATTTTGCTCGGTACATTTTTACGGAGTGTCTTTTAATATGTTGACTGATTCCCGTCGATTCTTTCAATGTTCCAACTTTAAATCACTAAATATGCAATAAATAAATGTAATTCGCGTTAAATCCTTTTATTGCTCCTAATCAGCTATATGTTTATTTATTAGTATATAATATATACGCAGTTAATTACGTTTTATATCTAAGTTAGTAAAATGTGATTATTGCAGTCACGTATAATTAAAATGTAATATGTCATGGATATCACACATAGAGAAAAATTTTTGATTGTTATTAATGTGAATTCTAATTTTAACGAATGAATCAACGTGTTTCGGTTAACGGAAACAGCAATTCTGGTTCTCAGAATTAAATTTGGGTCATAAAAACCAGAAATTCAACGTCCTTCGACTGAAAGGAGTTGGCTTGTTCATTAAAATTTAACTTCACATTAACCTCTTTAGTGACGACTTAAAATAACTTCACGCTTTTCTCCCAAAGATGAGTTCTTTTTTTT